CATCTACTCCAAGGGGAAAATGAAGAGGTGCAACTGAAGATTTACAGAAAAACATTCATTACAGGAATATTTTAACAGCAAAAATTGGAAACAATCTTTATATCCAATAAGAGTAGAATGATGAAAAAATGATAGTTTAAAAAGACTAGAAACGTATCTAGTAAGATGTTTATGGTTTGTTAGGTCATTGATGATTTTTGTTATTGATGTTTTCTAACTTTTCTATTACTTTAGTGATAAGCAAAAGTATAGCTAATGTTTTTGTTTAATAATAACAGTGATAATAGCTTCCACTTATGAATGGCCTATGTACCAGACACTAAATATAGTAGGTATTTGACATACTGTTCATTCATTATCACTACTATAAGGCAGGTATTATTAGCCTCATTTTATATAAAGTAACATTTTCCTTATACTTCTATTTTTACAAGTTACCTGCTTTCCCATATGAATTATGATTTCTTTTTTTTTTTTTTGTCTTGTCTTTTTCCGTGTCCGGCAACGGATCGCAACCCTCAGTGTTGCCCTGGCCTATGTACCAGACACTAAATATAGTAGGTATTTGACATACTGTTCATTCATTATCACTACTATAAGGCAGGTATTATTAGCCTCATTTGGCCTATGTACCAGACACTAAATATAGTAGGTATTTGACATACTGTTCATTCATTATCACTACTATAAGGCAGGTATTATTAGCCTCATTTTACATAAAGTAACATTTTCCTTATACTTCTATTTTTACAAGTTACCTGCTTTCCCATATGAATTATGATTTCTTTTTTTTTTTTTGTCTTGTCTTTTTCCGTGTCCGGCAACGGATCGCAACCCTCAGTGTTGCCGCTGTACCGGACCGGGGACCGGCAACGCGATTGCAACCCTCGGTGTTGCCCCCGCGCCTCGCTCAGCCAGTGAGCGGGAACCGGTCTGTATGTGGGATCCGAACCCTCGGGCGGGAGCGCCGCCGCGCTTCCCAAGCGGCGCACTTATCCAGTGTGCCACCGGGCCGGCCCATGAATTATGATTTCTTTCATAAAACAACCAATTCTCTATTAGATAGTTCAGCACAGGCTCTTGTCTATTGGTTTAATGTTTCAGTTTAGGAAGCTATTTAGAACAGCATTACAGTCACATTCAAAGATATGCTGATAGAGAATGAAAAGAGCTCAAACAAGGATCATTTCCCACAGAAAGGAGACTGGCTTATTCAGGCTACATTCTTAGAACTTTTCTTTCCACACTAATTTTACATGAAAGAACAGAAATAATTACCACCCACCTTTTACTTATCTACAGCACTATCCTTTTTATAAAATTCATACACTGCCCCATTTGATCCTCACAACACCAAGCTGGGCAGGATGGAAAGTAGCACCTTCACTTTAAAGATGAAGAAAAGAAACCTGAGAAATTAAAATGTTTTGCTAGTAAGTAATGGGTAAAACCCACCTCTCTGGAGCCTGTGTCCTTTCTATTATACTTACTGAGTGGGAAGACTGTCACATAACTCTACCACTTGCTGGGGAAATACTTCTTTTCTTCTACAAAAGTACAGCTTTTATATATATATATATATATTTTTTTTCCTTTTTGTCTTTTTTACTGACCGGTAACGGGATCGCAACCCTCGGTGTCGCGCCCGTACTGGGGACCGGCAACGGGATCGCAACCCTCAGTGTTGCACCCACACCACGCTCAGCCAGTGAGCGGGAACTGGTCTCCACATGGGATCCGAACCCTCGGCGGGAGCACCGCCGCACTCCCAAGCGGCGCACTCTCCAGTGCGCCACTGGGCCGGCCCGAGCTTTTATATATTTTTAATTTTTCCTTTTACTTAAATTGCTTTTAAGACAGGTTGTTCCAATTATTCTATTTATCTTCAGAAGGGTAACATTCCAGAGAGTAAGTTTCCTAGATATCTTTTAAAATGTAAAAGGCAGTATAGAGACATTCATCAAAATGTTAATAGTAGTTATCTCTAAGAGAAGGGATTTCAGATAACTTTAGTTTTCTTCTTTAAACTTCTGTTAAAAATGAAATGCTTCATCTTCTCTACATCATCCAAGCTTAAAACTATTTTTGCATCCTCCACTGCACTGTACATAATAGGCGTTCAGTAGGAGGTGCTGAGTAAATCAATTTCCTAAATTTCTGCCACATCTGTGTGCACTCCACATGATTACTGACTTAATATCTTTCTTTAAACCAAACCACTTTTTAAAACTTAGCCTTATCCTAAATGATAATATACATGAAATCATGAGTTTGATAATGATAGTTTGTTTCCTAATATACATTAATAGATATATAGCTATTCAAATTTAATATGTTGATATACTACCTAAAGTTATCTCAACAGTGGAATACACACTGAAAAGCAATAGAATTAAGGATTGTTGAGTCAATCTTTGACCTTCTCCTTCACCCCCATGATATTAATCACCAAGTACTTTAAATCCATCTGTTATTATGACTCTTACACTTATTCTGACCTCTCATTCTAGTGTAGGACCTCACTATTTCATGCTGATCCTGATTATCTTGGTGCAGTAGGCCCCTAGGAGTCTCCCTGCCTCCCATCTTTGTTCTATCCTACTTGCTGCCACCAAATTTTAATCTTCCTAAAACAAGCTCTGGCCTCTAGCCAAATCAATCTAAACTTTCCGGGCCACTGGGAATAACTGCTTGATGTCTTCAGGAAAAACTATTCTACAAACTGGCCCTGGCCCACCTTTCTATCCACATCTACAAGAATCCATTAATTCATTAGCCTCAGAATAGGTGCTGTGTACAATAGTCTCCACAGCTTTATTCGTTCCTTATCTTCTACCAGTAAAGCCCCATCTCCAAGTCAAAATTCTGCCTAGTTCAAATATCTTCTCTTCTAAGAAACCTGTCTGACTGTTAGAATCTGTATTAATATCTGGATTTCTAAAAGCCATACTATTTCAGCCACTCATGATATTTATCATACCCCGCCTTAAACTATGGGCTATTTGTTTCCTCTACTATAGGTTCTTTAAGGTAGAACTATGTCTAATGTCTCTTATTGTGTAATTTGAATATACTTGTAGATGCTAAAATATTTGTAATCAGTGCAATAAAGCAGGCTTTTCAAGAAGCTAGCAAAATAAGTCAAACCCCATTCAACACACTTCAAAGAACCTCCTAATCATTTCTGTAGCCAAAGAAAACTGTTCTCATAGATATTAAAGGTCTGAAATTTCATTACATTGCTTGTAATCAGTGGACCACTAGCTAATGTCTAGGTTTAGCTGTAATGTAATCCACCCTGTATGTGAATGCCTCTTTAAGCAGGTTGGCTTGCTAAGCCTGCATGATTCTCCACTGTTATCACTGGGTTACCCTTTCTGCACTTCGGTCTTCCTGTCTATAAAATGACCTTATGATCTCTTCCTGGCTTAAAATCCTATGACTCTCAGTCGGACCAAAGTGATTTTTATTCTAATATCCCAACTGGCAGGATAACTGCATTTACAAAAATAAATACAAGCAAAGGAGTTAACCTTCTTCCAATGCTATTGAATCCCTTCCCCAAATTTTGTTTCATCTATATTTATAACAGGCTAGGCACTTTACTAGACCATCTTTTTAGGATCAAAACAGATGTTCAATGCTAATCATTATTTTCTGGTACTTAAAATACATAGAGTACAAGGTATTTCACATATATAATTCATTTATTCTTCACGACCCTTAAAGATAGGCATCTTTATCTCAGTATTTCTCAAACAGGGCAGATCTTGCCCGCCACCCCACTTCCCAGGGTCATCTGGCAATGTTTGGAGACATTTTTGGTTGTCATAATTTTGGGGGGTGGGGGAGTTGTCACTGACCTCTAGTGAGGAGAGGCCGGGGATGCTGCTAAACATTCTATGATGCACGAGATACTCCTACAAGAAAAAAATCATCTGGCCCAAAATGTCAATACTGCCGAGGTTGAGAAACCATGCTGGCTTCATCTTTCAGTTAAGAAATCAAAGATTCGGAGAGCTTAACTTACTTGCCCATGATTACACAAATGGTAAGTAAATAAACAGGGATCTAAAATCATCTCTGTATGGCAACAAAGCCAATGGCAAATTCTATCACACATACAAATACTGGTGACTGTTTCTGATGAAATTTTATTGTTTCATCAGATTTTTTCATCAAATTTCTGATGAAATTTTATTGTTTCATTGCCTCCTGTTCCCCATTTAGCCTTTGTACTTTAAGTTTTTCTAATCAGCATCAGCTGAACTCATCCAGGAAAAGATTCAGAAGCAGCTTTCTTAGACTCTTAGGTCAGGTCAGATTTAAGAAATGTTTTCTCTTATATTCCCACTGTATCCAGTATCTATAGCTTCATAGTAGCAATTATTATATTGTAGTATGATTGTACGATTATCTCCCCTTTGGACTATAAGCTTGAGAGGAAGGTTTTCTTTATTTTTGTATTCCTAGTGCAAAGCAAAATATCTCAGCAGAACATACATTTCATAAATATGTATTAATCAAATAAAACAAATTACATAATGTACCCAAGGCTATACAGCTACTAAATGACAGAACCAGGATTCAAATCCAACTCTCTCTGTTGCCAAATCCTATAATTACTGTTTCAATGAAGCTTAAAATTAGATGTTTATCTTCTCCTTATCCTGTCTGTGGGAATACTTTGATCACAGACATAAGGAATATGTACATATGTACATAGTTCCTGTTTTAAAGACAGCTTATAATCATGAGTTTTCCTATCTTATAAGAGCTTCCAATTTTAATATCAACATTCTGTAAAAGTTTGCAAAGTGTTAGCATGTAATAATAGTAGTAATCTCTCCCAAATACTGGAACTGTAAAGAGACCATGGTGTGTTTATTTGATAGTCTCCCTGAATTTGACACTCATTACATAGTAATTGACGTTATTTTGAGTTATCACAGGAACTGTGTATAAAAACCAAAGCAGAGTCTCTTAGGAAAAGAACTCACTTTAACTTTAGCTTTTATTTCTTCACCGTCCCCTTCTCCATCCTTGCGGGGTTCCACGCCAGACTCCTCCTGGAGGCCTTTGTTTAGTACAGAGTACTCTTCGAGGAGAGTGTCAAACAAAACTATTCGCTTGTTCTTGAAGAAGCCATAAAAATAAGCATTGCTGTGGGAAGAGCGTTTAGATCCTAAGGAAAAGACAGTTCAAAGCATGGAATATAATTAAAAAGTTTGGGGTCCTTTGGAGAGACTCCTAGAAATGGAATGATTGGTGAGGACATTAACATTTTCAAATTGTTTAATACCTAAAGAAAACGTGTATCAACATAAACCACCACCAGCAGTGGAGAGTGTCTGTTTCCCTTCATTCTTGCCAACAAATATTTATGCTCATGACAGCTTTATAGCAAATAAGTAAATAAGTAAAACCTAAATATCCAACAGTTGTGGAATGATTAAATTACGGTAAAGCTATGAAAAGGAATTTTAAACAGTCAGAAAAAAATTATACTTTCAAAGAATTTTAACAAGAAAAAGCTCACCAATATATTATGAAGGATACAAAACTTCACGTATATAAGGTTCCATTATTGTCAAGAAAAAAAAGGAACATATAAGTAGAAAAGCATAAACACAAACCTATTAAGAAATATATCAAAATACTGACATGTTTATCAAGGGTTCTAGAATTATGGATTTTTGTTTCTTCCTTTTTACCTTTTTCTCTTCCTTAGTGTTCTTAAAATAAGCATACTTACTTCCACAATTAGAAAAAAAATAAATCTATCTTTATAAAGACTGGAAGAAAAAACACCTAAATTTTTACTAGTGGTTAACAGTAGCTAAACTATGATTGATTTTTATTTTCTTCTTTATATATTTAATTCCCAAATGTTCTACAGTGTGCAGAGAGTTGAATATAGTGGTTAAGAATATAGACTTTGGGTTGAAATCTTGGCTCTGTCATGTATTAGTTGTGTAAATTTAGGGAACTTTCTTCATTTCTTTAAGCTTTAGTTTCCTGTTTATGAAGCAAGGCTAATATCGACCTCATTGGGTTGGAACAGGATTACATGAGCTATTCTAAGTAAAGCGATTAGTATACTGCCTGATCCATATAAACTACTACTATTACTTGTATACTTTTAAAGAAGAAGTGATAAAACATTTGTTCTCTGGAGAACCTGAGGTCTCTCACAGAAAACATAAATTTTGTATCTACTCATATTACTAATGTAAGGTACTTGGTGATATGTTCGGAATATAGTAAAGCTTTGATAAATAGATGTTATTACTTATTTATTGCATTTTTACGTCACTTTTTGGTTTGGTTGCCTGGAAGTTAAGAACCAAACATGTGGCCCAATTTTGTCAATAATATAAGACCTTAGGCCCTGGAAAGCAGTGTTATCACTCTGAAGTCTCACAGTTCTATCTCATCTCTATCTTCTCTGATCTTAATTTTTAAATTAATTTAAAAATATTTCTTAGAAGTTGTCTGAAATTATTTACAGAAGCAGGCAAATTGTATAAAGATAAATAAAATTAAATTAATATCTTAATATCTCCCACTGGTTCAAGTATCTCAAAGTGTGGTCCAAGGAATACTGACATGTAAATCACCTAGAGATGCTTGTTAGAAGTACAAACTGGAAACAACTATTAAGTCAGAATCTCTGGAATGGAGCCCAGGAATCTGTCCTTTAACAAACTCTTCAGGGAATTCTTACACTTATTAAAGTTTAAGAGTCTCTGCACTAGACCATAAGCTTTTCATTTTGCTGTGCCTGGTATGTAGTCTATATTCAATATTCCTTATTTACTGAATGGATTAATGATACCACTTCAGGAATGAAGTAATGTATTTGAGAACTCTGAAAGTCAAAATGTTCTAAGCAAATGTAAGGCGTTGCCATCCATGTCTTCACCTTCTGCTTATGACATCTCATCTTAATCAATCTCTTGGCAGCGTTTAACACAGCTGACCAATTCCCTCTTTAAACACTTTCTTCTCCTGGCTTTTAAGACACCACTTTACCCTGATTTTCTCCCTACCTGAATGGTCTCTCCTCCTCAGCCCCCTTTGATGGCTGTTTCCTCCCTTCTCTTCTCTAAGTACCCTCATCCATGACATTAAACATGCTAGATATTTCCAAATCTCTATTTCTTTTTTTTTTTTCCTTTCTGTCTTTTTTACTGACCGGTAACGGGATCGCAACCCTCGGTGTCACGCCCGTACCAGGGACCGGCAAGGGGATCGCAACCCTCAGTGTTGTGCCCGCACCGCGCTCAGCCAGTGAGCGGGAATCGGTCTCCACATGGGATCCGAACCCTCGGCGGGAGCGCCACCGCACTCCCAAGCGGCGCACTCTCCAGTGCGCCACCGGGCCGGCCCCAAATCTCTATTTCTAGCCCTGATCTTTCCCTCGAACTTCAGACTCATGTACCCAGCTGCCTATCTGACATTCCAACATGGATGTCTATAGACATATTTGTTGTTTGTATTCTTATGTGTAATTTTTTTTTTCCTGTCCTGTATTGGAATCTCCTTTCAGAGTTCAGAGAATTTCACACAATGTAAGTCTTTTGAGAGACCACTCTCATTTGAAAAATCTAAAAAGCCAGATATTTGCTTCCCCAGCACTCCTGGCAACTAGTCCCATGCCCTGGCTTAGTCAGTCAGATGCACCTACTGGGGACTCTGAATAGTTAGCTAATTATACAAAGAAGTAAGGCAGTGAGGAATTAATTCTGCAGGTGCTACTGGTAGGGATGTTAGGGGTAGAAACTGCTGAATCCAATGTTCTGAGGTGGCAACAGCAGTGTCCTCACCAGACTGCTTCTGCAGTCTGATTCTGAGTTCCTAGTCTCCCATAACAATCCATTTCCAAGGCTGGTAAACTTAACTTTCCTGGAGATTTTGTGAGCTGTAAATAATGTTTCAATAAGGATTTTGTCTGTTTAAATTAGTCACAGTTGGTTTCTACTGCTTGCAGAACTCTAATATAATGTTTAACAGATATCCCAATGTGTAACACATTCATCAGAATTCTCAATTCCCCACAAACCTGCTCTTCTCTCAGTTTTTTACCTCTCAGGAAACTACCATTTATCTAATTGCTTAGATTAAAAATCTAGCCCATCATCATTGATGTCACTTTTTCCCTTATTCTCCCACATGTAAGCCCAAGATATTTTGAAAATACAAATCAGACCATGTCACTTTCCTGCCTACAGCCTTCAGTGGCTTTCCCTACTGAACTTAAGATATAATCCAAACTCTCTATCCTGATTTACAAAGTCTTATGTGGTCTGACTCTTGCCTGTGTCTCAGATTTCTTCTTATTACACTGTCTTGCTATGTTACGGCCACACTGGACTTCTCCATGTTCCTTGAAGATACCAAGCTCTAGAAGGTCTTCCCATTGATCTCAAAATGGATGGCTCCTACGTTCAGGTCTTAGCTTAATAGTCATTTGCTCAAAGAAGTCTTCTCTGATGACCCAATCCAAAGTATCTACTAAGCCATCCTTTATCATATCACACTAGTTTAATTCTCTGCACAGCACTTGCTATCGGATGTTTTTTTGAGAGTGGGATTCTTGGCTTTTCTTTCTTTCTTTTTTTTTTTTTTTGTCTTCTGTCTTTTTCCGTGTCCGGCAACGGATCGCAACCCTCAGTGTTGCCCCCGTACCGGACCGGGGACCGGCAACAGGATTGCAACCCTCGGCGTTGCCCCCGCGCACCTCGCTCAGCCAGTGAGCGGGAACCGGTCTGTATGTGGGATCCGAACCCTCGGGCGGGAGCGCCGCCGCACTTCCCAAGCGGCACACTTATCCAGTGCACCACCGGGCCGGCCCATTGGCTTTTCACTATAATATCCCCTACCAATTTACAGATCTGTAACGTGTTGTTATTGTTGGTAACAACATTCATTCATTCAAAATATTTTTAAGGATTGTTACTACTGATAACAATAATAAAAACATTACCGATGAGTAAACTGCTGTTTAGGGAAGGTAAGTTGCCCAAAGTCGCACAGATAATTTGTGACAGAGCTGGGATTCAGACCCAAACCTATTGACTCCAAAGCCTAACCTCTTAAATACTACTGCCAGCCTATTCAAATCTTGTTTTTTCTATAAAGTCCCAGCTCCTGTCATAACCCTCCATAAAACCTTCCCTGACTATTTCATCTAAAATGAAAACTGCATTGATGACATATATTAGACATTTTGATTACCTCTTGTCATATCATTAGCTATCATTTCATATTATCTGATTATAACTTAAGTGATCAGCAATGTAGGTTGCTCCTTCAGTAAAAGCCCCTCAGAGACTATTTTATTGTATTGATTAGTGTACTATTACTCTTTACCTAAAAAAAAAAAGAGAGTAATGATTCCAGAGGCTAAAGAAGAATGAACTGGCCTATTCTCCTACCACTTCCCCACAGAATCTTAAGCTGTTCCGATTGTCTTTAGTTGGGCTGTATAGCCTCAGAAACCACTAAATGTCTGAGATTTCTATACTCTTCTAGTTGCTGTTAATTCATTCTTTTCAGCTGTAACAATCTCTGTTCTCCCCTGACCCTGCAATTGCTTCTCGGTTTCTACTACTTCATCTAATATAGCTGCTTCTCACTGGTGATATTTTAGTTTAGATCTGGGATTGGCAAAATATGGCTCCCAGGCCAAATCCAACTTGCTGCTTATTTTTATAAAGTTTTATTGGAACATAGCCATGCTCATTTATTTGTATATTGTCTATGGCTGTTTTTGCACTACAATGGTGGAGTTGGACAGTTGCAACAGAGACCATGTGGCCCACAAAGTCTAAGATACTTACAATCTATCCCTTAAAGAAAACGTTTGTCAAACCATAATTTGGAAGAAACACAACTGAAACCCAGAGGGGTGAAGTGATTTGTCCAAGATCTCATAGCTGGAGAAATTAAATTCGTTTATATGGATTTTAATTTATAGATTCTGAAAGTCATGGTAACTTACAATAGTTTTCCTCTACATCTTTGTAGGCTTCCTTCAGACTTTATTAGCTTTATGTATGCTAATAGTTTAACTCTCAAAATCAATCATCAGAAAAGCAGAGTATAACTAATTTGAAGCACCTGATGGTACTATAATTTTCAGTAATCTGCAGGTGTTTTGTCGGAAGAGACAAAGCCAGTAACACTGGTTTGGCTTATGAGCCTCCAAACTAGTACTAAATGGAATCTGACTATTCAAAAGTCCAGCTCAACTAAAAAGGCCAGGCAGGTAACAGAAGTGAATAAATTAGTCTAACATACCACATAATATAATAGGGAGTGAAAAAGAGTTCGGCCAAAATTTAAAACAATACTGTAAAGCCAATCAAACAGGCAAGAGCAGGATTTGGCATCTGGCCACAAATTTCTATCCTATATCATCAAGTCCTATAAATCTTAAAAAGCCAAAATGTAAAATCTTAAGCTTTAAATAACAAAATTTTTTTAAAACCCCAAAACTGATTTGTTCTATTATTAAAGTTTTAAGAATAAGGTACTCAAAATAAACATTGGAATAAAACCTTCTAACCCCTAGGTAGCCTTACCTTCAACAACATATACCTTAGTTAAAGGAAAATCAATACTCTTTGCCATTACTTCAATTTCTTGTTTAAGCTTTCCTTCAGGCAGAGGTGTGAACTTGTCAAATAAAGGGGCAATATAATCAGCATAGATTGTGACAAGAACCTGAAAAGTAAATGTCAGAACAACATATGAATATGTTCTTTAAAAAAACTACTCATGATTATACAGATTCAATTACATTTAAACAATTCTGTGGACCCCAAAATTCAGAACAGGGAATTTATCTTATTTACTCTGGTATTCCCAGGCCCAATTAGTGCCAGATAGTAAGAGCTCAACATCTGTGTGATGAATTAAATCAAAATAAGTAATGTGATAACACAGTAAACCTTTGAATTTTATTTTAGGTGATAATGCTACCAACAGTGATTAAGATCTCTAGGTGGTAATAAATAATCCATTCAAAACTGTCTTGGGGGGGCCGGCCCGGTGGCACACTGCTACAGTGCGCCGCTTGGGAGTGCAGCGGCGCTCCCGTCGAGGGTTCGGATCCCACATACAGACCGGTTCCCGCTCACTGGTTGAGCGAGGTGAGGGCGCAGCACCAAGGGTTGCGATCCCGTTGCCGGTCCCAGTCCGGTACGGGGGCAACACTGAGGGTTGCGATCTGTTGCCGGACACGAAAAAAGACAAAAAAAAACTGTCTTGGGGATTTTTGACACTTCATAAGCCAATCATAACAAATAATTCTGCCTGTTAGAGTAATCATTACAGATCTGAAGTCTTTGCCAAAAAAGAATTACTAGAGCTTGACTGTGTGCTGTCTATTACTTGGTTGGTTTGTCTGCCAAAATTAATTGCCAACAGTTCATAACTGTACACTTTTGTTGAAACAGCACTTACTTAAGCATTTTGGAGCATTTCCTCTGCTCTCTTTCCTCTTACTTCACTTTGCCATACAACAGATACTTGTAAATACAACTAGTGCCCATTTTCTGGTCTTGATCCCACAAGTGGGAAGTGAATCAATGAGCATTATGTAATTCAGACTAAAATAAATCTCATCATCAGTGGAGTGAAGAGCTGATAGATATATTCTTGGGGTTGTGAACAGACCATTTTGATAGTGTTGCAGTGTTTGTGCTATGAAACAGTTTAGAATACGAGAAAGAGGAGGAAAAGAAGATGTGAGGAAGGGAAAATGGGTGGAGAAGAGAGGAAAAGGGAAGGAAAAGGAAGAGAGGGAAGGATAAGTGGCGGAGGCGGGGAGAAAAGGGCAAGAGAAAAGAGAGAAGGAAAGGAAGGAGAATGGGTAAAAGGAGGAAGAAAAAGGGAACAGAGAAGAAGGGTGAAGAAGGGAAGGGGGAAAGGAGGAAGGAAAAGGCAGGCAGGGAGGGCAGAAGGCAGATAGTGTATGTTTTCTTTCTCTTGTCCCTCTTAAATCTATTCTCTTTTCAAAATATTCATAACTTTTAGGCACTGGAGGTCAGTTGAGTCTTTAAATTATCACACTTGGTCATCCATTCTGGTAGCAACTCACGAATGCACAGCCCAAAACTGTCTGACAACTGGATCATTAAAAGTGACTAACAGAGTAGAAAAAAAAAAAAAAAAAAACCCAGTGACTGATAATTAGCTCCTAGGACCTGTAAGAGTTGGCATAAAGAGAAGAAAATTTATGGTCAGTTGACTCGCTTATTTCTACACCCCAAAGCAGAAACCAGGAGGGAAATTTATATGAGCACCTAGTTCTATTTCATCTGCTTAAGAACTGTTTCCATGCTAATGAAGCTCAAATCACAGTAAGCTTAATCTCACTGAGAAACTCTTCTAAAAAAAAAAATGAAATAAAAATTTTACTCACCAAAGAGACAACTAATGTGAACAGCCAGGCATAAATAAAAAAATAGTCACCCCCAATTTTGATAATGTAAAGTAGAAGTGAAGACACAGGCAATAAAATACACTGAGTCACAACAAATTTCTTGATTGCATCTTTCATGAAGAACCCCAAAGTCTGAAAAAAGAAAACATCACCACAAAATACTGAGAGACTGCTTTCACTTTTTTTTTTGGTGTTTGGCCAGTACCAGGATCTGAACCCTTGACCTTGATGTTATAACACCATGCTCCACCAACTGAACTAACTGGCCAGCCCCTCAGCCCCCAGTTTTGCTTTTTAAGTAACTAATAAGTGAATACAAAGTAAAGATTATTAAAACAATTTTTAAAATTAACATGCAATAAGACTATGTTACACCACACTAGCAGCCTAAGACAAAAAGTAAATGTTGCCTTGGATTTTACAGCTTAAAATAAACTCGTTTAAATGTTATTAGCTGAAAAACACTAGACATTAATGCTAGAAGAGTTTATAGTAAGGCTTTAACTATGATCTTTACCATATCTACAGTTTCTCTTTTTCCCAATTAATTCATGCTCTAAAATAGCAAATTATGTTTAAGTTATTACTGGCACAAGACAAAAGCACAGATCTTTACACTTAAAAGAGAACATCTGTATTCTCTATTATACCTGTTGATTGAAACCATGTTTTTCTTCTATCACAAAAGTATTGTAAAGACTCCATGGCAAACCAGTCGACGCACTGAAAAGCGTAGCTAACAGCAGAAACACCAAGGACTGAGTGATCTACGCACAAGAAGAAAAAAAATGGCAGTTTTTATGATGTAATATAATTCATTCTTCAAATGAACTACTAGCAAACAAATCAACAAGTATTTGTTGAGTACTTACTATATCCCAAGCAACATGCTTGATTCTGTTAGTAATAAAAAGTCTGAAACATCATCCCTGCCCTTGGAAAAAGTTAACTTGTGAGAGAAGGAGTAAAAGAGGAATAAAATGATTTCTTCTTTATCATACAGGTTCTATATGAAAGTTACCTTACAGTGTTGTAACACCAAGGTCAAGGGTTTGGATCCTTGTACCAGCCAGCCCCCAAAAAAAAAAAAAAAAAAAAAAAAAGAGAAAGAGAGAGAGAAAGTTACCTTAAGTCATATATATAGACAAAACAGTTAAAAGAATCCAGAAAAGCAACATATGCAGGTGAATTCAAGGAAGGCTTTCAGAGCTGATGAGACTTGGGATGCCACTCTGAAGAAACAGATAAATTCGGCCAGAAAGAAGAGGAAAGCAGAAGGAATTTTAGGCAATCTGAGAGAAAAGAGCACCCTATAAGTGGAAGATAAAGAGATGATAGGCCTGGTTGAGACAAGGCAGAGAAACTTACAATGGAGAGTCAAAAAAGCTGGACCAGGGCAGATGGGGTAGAATGTGCTAAAGTTCACAAGAAACCAAAATCCAATAGAGAAAATTACCCTCACAAATTAATTCACTTCCTTTAAATTAGCCCCTAGTAGATCAATAGCCAAGAAGTATCTAGTTTCTCTTTACAAACATTTTTCTGGGACAGTAGAAGACAAGGTCTAATTAGTATAAAGGGAGTTGAGCGGGAGGGGAAAAGACCAATGAGGCAAATATAGTCTTTCCTCTCTTCCCCTTACCCCCAGCGTGAAATTGAATTCTTTTAAGGTAAACGTGAGTACACCATGCACTACCAAAGCATATTTGATTTGGTAGCAAAGATGCAGCCAATATAAGTTTCCTAACATAGGAGGAAGGGAGAGGAGAAGAGGAAAGAAGATTCGTGGGCTACAACATGCAGGGTGGTTTACTGTGGCACTTGTTCCCAAACAGGAAATGGGAACAATTTTTAAAAAAAGATGCCACGACCTTCCTAAAAACTACTGAATCAGAATCCCATTTTCCAAAAGTGCAGTATCAATCATATTATACACACTGTTTGAATACCTGCTTTTCTCATTTAACATATCACGGACATCTTTCCATAACAATAAATATAGATCTATATCTTCACTGCTAATGGCGCTGGAGTATTCCATTGTATAGGTGGGCACTTAGGCTATTTTTATTATAGCATTGCCAGTGCTACAACGAACCCCTTTCTAAATACATCCTATGCATCCATTTCCCATAAATTCATAGAAGTGAAATGTCTGGTTTCAAAGAGTATGAAGTTTTTTAAGGTTTTTGATACATACTGCCAAGTCGTCCTCAAGCAAAACAATACTAAATTTTCCATCTGCCAAGAGCATGAGACTATTTTTCTATCCCTTACCAATTCTGTCTTATCATCCTTTTAATTTTTTTTCCCCAGTCTGAATGATAGGCAAAAACAAAACAAAACACCACAACCCCCCTAGTACCACATTGTTGTTTTAAAATACATTTCTTTAATTATCAGTATGGATTTATATTTTTCATGTATTTAGTGACCATATGAATTTCTCCCTTTGCCCATTTTTCTATTGAGGCACTCAACTTTTTCAAAAATGTTATTTCTACAAAGAGTTCTTTCTATATTAAATTACTAATTCTTAAACAGTCATAAGTGGCAATTCTTCGCCGGTTTGTAGTGTGCCTTTTAAATTTGCTAATGCCAGTTTTTCTATAGAAAAATTTTAAATGTAAATCTACCAAATTTTACCTTCATCGTTTCTACCTTTGGTGTCAAACTTTTTAAAAAGCTAGATGATGTTAAAAATTTACAGCTTGTTTTTGTTTTTGTATATTCAAGACTTGTATTTAAATATTCAATTGATCTAAAGACTATTTTTCTTATATGGTAGAAAATAGAAATTTATTTTTACTCAGTTGTCCTAAGAAAATTTATAATTTATACTTCTCTCACTGTTGAAATGCCACCTTCACCATATACCAACATCTTACATATACTTACATGCTGGTTTCTTGTACCAATGCACAGATTAAGATTTATGATACATTTTAATATCTGAGTAAAAGTTACCACTCATTACTTTACTTATTCAGAATTTTTCTGCCTATTCTCTTATCTTTATTCTTTTGGATTAACTATAAAATGTTTTACCATGTGTCTCTCACAAGTTGCTCTGGGATTGTAATTGAGTTCTATTCTTTTTTCAAAAGTTCATAAATCTTTTCTTTAATAATGCATTATATAATTTTGGTGAGGCATTAACATCAAGTTCAGCATTCTGCCACAGAATCTACCATTTTCTCTTTTTGAAAATATAGACAGGGCTTGCCAGTTAACTCAGTTGGCTAGAGTGTGGTGCTGATAATACCAAGGTCAAGGGTTTGACCCCTGTACCAGCCAGCCAGCCGCCAAAAAAAAAAGAGAAAATCTAGACATTTGCTTATCTGCAGTCTTCTGAAACATCCCCCGTTCTCCCAAATTTATGAACGCATGTCACAAGTTCAAGTTCCTTCTGCACACTATTATAAAAATCATCTAAGTTTGGAGCCTTGAATTAATTATTATTTTTTTCGGGGCATTATGGGGATCCGAACCTGTGACCTTGGTGTTACTACCATCACACTCTAAGCCTTGAATTAATTTAAAACAATTTGATTCTTTTTGAATATCTCACGCATAAGCACCACTTTAAAATGAATAATTCTATCAATAAATCATTTTACTTGCTTTAAGAAGATGAACAATAAGTCTGCCCACTTCCCTAATCAACAAGCAGGCTTATTCCCTCCTTAAAACTAAGATTCCAAGAACTTTTTAAGTTCTTTTGCCTAAATCATTAAAAAAGCTTCTTAAAGCAGTCTATCTACAATCAGTCACTTCCATCCCAATCCATCCTATATACATACCAGATTACTCTGAAACCCCACTTCTCTACTTCAGAAACTTTAAATGGCTCCCTAATATAAGACTTCAAATTCATTACACTGTTAAAGATCTTCATAATCTGACCCCAAAATGCTACTTTCCACTATTCCTCTATAAAACCCTTCTACCACTAACAGACAACTGTGAGCTAAAGCTTAGAAAGGTGATTGAATTAAGGAAAATATTCCAGCTGAAAAAGAAAGTGTGACAGGAAATTCACCCTGGAGAAATGTAAAGAGTACACAACCTCCAGGAGCTCTTCTCCAAAGATTTCTAAACTAACCAAAAAAGGAGAAAATATCCTTGGAGTAAGGTCTTCTAGGCAATGAGAAAGGGTTTTAACCCATTGCTTCTCAAAGACAACAAGATCTGGACTCTATTCTTGTCATTGAACATTTCAAGGCTGTGGGACACAGAATATTACAAAGTCCTGTGACATGAGGGCATACCAACACATCTTGAAAAATGGCACAATTCATCCCTTTTCTGAGATGAACCTCCTCATTACATCTCCTATTCATGATGTGGCAACAGAACTCTGAAGCATTCTGAGCCATTAAGTCCATTACTTGCTGAGAAGGGCTGGCCAAAATCTCACTGTCAAAAAATAAGGACACCGATTATTAGACCCTTTGCTGATGGTTTGGGAAAGCAGAAAATTCTGCCAAACAATACACTGCCTATGCCTAAGATAAACTGAGGTCCACCTACTTTTCCTCTTTTTTGAATATAGAAAATGGTTTTAATTATACAAATACATACTCACTGCTGACTTTTCTTAAGAGATAAGCAAAAATAAAAATTGCCAAATTCTCCCCAGAGACAACCTCTTCTGGCCTTTTGGTACATACTATTTCAGACTTTTTAAAGATTTGAAATATGTACACAATGATACACACAAGGTTGCACACCACTGTATGCAAACAAGAAAAATTAAACCAACCTAAATGTTCCTCACTGGGATACCGATTATGTAAAAAAATCCATGTGGATATTCACATACATGCCCTTTTACTTACTTATGTTGCTTTATAACGACTTTTCTATTCAATAATAAATTGTATAAAATAACAGCACAATAACACTTTTTCCCCTATTAGATAACCAAAAATAAAAAGATCATGTGCAGAATAAGTATTAGTGAGGAACCAGCAAAAGGGTATTTTTGTACTTCATGTACTATGTAAGGACATTACTACGGATTGAATTGTGTCCCACAAAGTTTCATATATTAGAAACTTAATCCCCACTGTGACAGTGTTACGAGGGTGGGAAATCCTATTATGGTAATTGAAAGTTGGGGCTTTGAAGAGGTGATTAGATTGTGAGGACTGTACCCTTGTGAATGGACTGATCCATTCATGGAGTAATGGGCTTGGTTCTGATGGCTTTATAAGGAAAGTGAGTGAGCAAGTTAGCTCTCTCGCTCAGCCATTTCAATACCCTGTGTTGCTGTAGAGCAGCCACCACCAAGGCCCTCACCAGATGTGTTCCCTGGACTTTGGACTTCCCAGCCGCTGAAACTGTAAGAAATAAATTTTATTTCTTTATATATTACCCAGTCTTTCAAAATAAGCAACAGAAATGAACTAATATAGACATAAACCAAAAAAGCTGCTTTAGGAGGAATTTTGGCAACATCAATCAAAATTTTAACTGCACATAGCCTTTGACCCAGTTAATTCCACATATATTTATACATCTTCATAAATATTTAGGTAAAAGATATACACTGCAGCATTATTAGCAGTAAGAAAAATCTGAAACCAACCTATCAATAGCTGAATAATTAAATAAATGACACGTATACATAAATAAAGGCTATTGTTGCTTTACACAAGAGTGTGGAACCATAAAAATGACTGAACTCAAACTTTGTAGAGTGACCTTACTAATCAATATAAAAAGTATGATAGTTCTCTGAGTTTTTAAAATTTTGGCCAATATACTGAAAACTTTCTTACTGTCAGCTCTAAATGTATAGGGAAATAGAAAAAATAACAAAACTAATGTTTATTTAGTACACTGTAATTAAAAAACATTAGAAAAAAACATTCGAAACATTGAGAATTAGGGGTTTTTTCCTTTAGCTTTTTCTTTTCTTTTTTTTCCCAGAAATAAAGCAGGGCATTATTACATTGTCATTACGGTTTTTTGTGGTGGTAAGATTTAGTTTCCTTCTCTGTCTTGTTTGCATTTTTGTTCTACTAGTGGGTTTTGTTCTTTTTTGTGTATTCATGGTAGTGATTATTGTATTTCAGATTCTAGATGTAGGACTTCCTTGAGGATTTCATGTAGGGCTAGTTGTGTGGTGGCGAACTCCCACAGTTTTTGTTTGTCTGGAAAATATGCTATTTTCCCCTCATTTCTGAAGGATAGCCTTGCTGGGCATAGTCTTCTTGGCTGCCAGTTTTATCTTTTAGTATTTTGAATATATCATCCCATTTTCTTCTGATCTGTAGAATTTCTGTTGAGAAGTCTGCTGTTAATCTGATAGCGGCTCCCTTATAGGTGACTTGATGCTTTTCTCTTGCTTCTTTCAAGATTCTCCCTTTGACTTTGAGCTTTGCCAGTTTGACTATAACGTGTCTTAAAGAGGATCTTTTGGGGTTGAATCTGTTTGGGGATCTTTGAGCCACCTGGATCTGAAGGTCCATATCTCTCCCTATATTTGGGAAGTTTTCCATTATTATTTTGTTGGATGCCTTTTACTTTCTCCTCCCCTTCTGGAACACCTATGATTCCAATGTTTGTGTGTTTAAAGTTGTCTGCTAGCTCTCTTAGATTTTCTTCATTTTTTAAAATTCTTTTTTCCTTTTTTGGGTCCACCTGGGTTATTTCAAAAAACTAGCTTAAAGATCAGAAATTCCTTCTTCTGCTTGTTCTAGCCTGCTGCTTAAGCTCTCAGTTGTGTTTTTTCTTTCATTGAGTGAATCTTTCAGTTCCATGAGTTCTGCTACAATCTTTTCTAAAGTATTAATCTCTTTGTAAATTTTCTCATTCATATCCTGGATTTTTTTTTTCTTTCATTATGTTGTCTAACTGAGTCTTCTCATATCTCAGTGAGTTTCCTTAAGACTGTTACTTGGAATTCCTTCTCAGTCATTTCAAGGGTTTCCTTCTCTTTAAAGTCTGGTATTTGAGAATTACTGTATTCTTTTGATGGTGTCATATTGTCTTGGGTTTTTGTATTTCTAGTATCTCTATGTTGATGTCTGGTCATCTGGTAGAGCAGGTGCTTCTTCTACCACTCTGGAGAGGGCATTGAGGAGAGAGACATCCTCTTCTTTTTCCAGTTTTCGCTGGTGTGACTCTCCTTGTGTCAGTGCAGTTGAGTGGCTGGCTGGCTGGTATCTGCATGGTGGCTGTGGCTACTGCTACGGCATTGAGCCACTTTTGCAGCAGCCATGGCTGTGGCAGTGTCTGTGGTGGGTCACCTGCACGAAAGTGGTGTTTTTGGTGTACTCTCTTGCCTGCTTCTGGGTGGAGGGGGTAACTGCCCTTGGCTCCTGCCTAGGACCAAGGATATCGCAGTCTTGCCTACTTCTGGGTGGAGGGGCAGCTCCTTTAACCTTCTTTTTGTAAAAAGACTTATGAGTAGTTTGAATAATGCTTGCTTTTTCATTGTGTAACTTATGATATGGAGAGAGCATCTTTTCTCTTTCTTGGCAAAATGTCACACTCCTCTCTCTAAGGTTATGGCAGCTTCTAACATTTTATCCTTTGAACTTTCTTTTTTTTTTTTTCCTTTGAACTCTCAATATGAAATATCTTCAAGAGGTCCTTTAATGTGAGGGTTTTTACCAGTATCACTACCTCTGCGACATCTTCATTCTTTTCATTATACTCACTTTCCTCATTTGTCAATAAGGTCACCTTCACTAAATTCCTCTAGTTGCATATCTACCTACAGTCTTTCTAATGATAACACTGTCAGCATTCCCACAGTCAGAAATTTCTTCTATAACTGCATTTATGTTATATTTGAATCTCACTTCTAGTGTTGTTATTTTTCATTTCTTTGCTGCACTTATACCTTTGTTGGCCAGTTCCCTCTTTCAATCACCCATTTTTACAAAATGTCATATGGGTTTATACCTGGGAGAGAAGGAGTCAACACAACTGCACACTCTGAATAAGTGAACAACAGATGTTCAGGAACCAATCACTGACAAACTTTGAAAAACCTGACATGATTAGTCACTGATCACTGTGAGCATTTGTTATTTGCATAGTGATTTGCGGACTGAAGAGCTAGCAAGGAAGTTTATACCGGATGCAATTATTCACATAATATACTGTGGTAACTGAAATTTGAACTATTTTCTTGAAGGATTGGTGTTATTTAACTAAACCATGGTAACTAAAATTTGTATACATCAGAACTATACAAAGCAAGGATTGCCAGTACCATGCAGCCATTAAAGAAAAAAAAGGCCTATATCAACTGACAGGAAAGATCTCTAAAACACTGTTAAATGCAAAAGTAAAAGTAATGTCTCAGAACATTACATAAAATATGACCCCATTAAGATAAGGAATACTTTTTATATGCATATATATTCAACAAATATTTACAGAGTATCCATTCTGTGATTGGCATTGTTTAGGCACCAGTGACATAGCAGTGAAGAAAATGCATAAAGTCTCTGTCCCATTAGAGCTTAAAATTCTTGTCAGGGAGATAGATAAAAAGCAAACAAATAAAACAAGATAACTGCAGATAGTGGTAACTGTCATAAGAAAATAAGGTGACTTGCTTCACTAAAGAATGACAGAGGAATGCTATTTTAGATGGAATGGTCAGTGAAGGTCTCTCTGAGGAAATTACATCTAAGACGAGAACTAAATAAGGAACCATCTATGATGTTCACATGAAACCACCTTAAATAGCTTCTGAAAAAATACAGAGAATATGTAAGTAAACTGCCATACCACATATGATAGGTCAGAATCAAGAGTCTGTAAAGATATAGAGATTTCACAGGTCTTGAAAGAGTTCAGCTGTTTTAGAAAAGGGTATGCAGAAAAGAGACACAGCATAAACTGAGCTAAAGCCCAAGGTAACTATACACACAGAAGAGATCCATAATTTCATATAAACAAACAGGAAGGAGATAGTATACTTGACAATTTCCAAGGAAAAGTCAGGGAGCAGTGTCATAGCATCCATTCTAGGTTGGGAGTCTCAGGTTTAACACTATGCCCAGTAACTAGAGTTCCTGGAAGACAGCACGGTCAACTCAAGCACCTCAATCAAGATTCTAGGAGATACATTTTCTGTCTTTGTTTGAAGTATCTGCTATATATGTGTGTGACACAGAAGTACCTGCTTAGCATGGGTTCAACAAAATTCATGCTTCCTCTCTCAATGCATAGAGTTTTTCCTAAGAAGCAGCTGCCTAAGCAGAGACTGTATTTCCCAGCTCCTCTGCATCTGGGTGAGACCAAATGATTGGTTCACCAATGAAATGTGAATGCAAAGGAAGGTATCACTTCAGAGCCAAGGAAGTCAAGAGGAGGGAATACTTTCTCTACTGTCTCAAGGGCACTGGATGACACATTCAAAAGATGAAGAGACTAGGTCTCTGGCTTATCACATGGGAGAAAGACAGCTACTAACTAAAAATACTCACACTGAGCTAGATAAATTGTTGTGATGAGCCATTGAAATTATGGAGTTTGTAATAGTAACCAGCATTATCCTAATATGGCATGAGTGGACAAGGACAGTGCGGGCAGAGAAGCAAGTGAAACGACGGTAGGAGACAAAAATTTAACTTTACTTTATTTTATTTAGTTATTGGTTGTTTTTTGGCAGCTGGCTGGTTTGGGGATCTGAACCTGGTGTTAGTTACCAGCACCACATTCTCCCAAGTGAGCTAACTGGCTAGCCCTTAAAAATTTAAGTTTAGTATAAAGCTTGCCAAGTAAAAAAAAACTCTGACAAATATATGATAACGAATCACATACCTCATGTTCTGGTCCAAAGCCAGCATAACCACAGAAGCGTCCAGAAAGTCTCCAGAGATAAGGGATTCCACCAAAGAGAAGAATAAGCTATAAAACAAAGCATATTTTGGTTACTTTTGAACGGTAGTATAAACTACCATATGAGAGAGCATGTTATAAAGGACAAAATAATTATCTTTAAAGAAAAAAAAAGACCTATCTCATGTAGGATAAATATACATTTAGATGAATACAAACCATTGAAATTCTAAGTTTAGACTGTTAGAACATTTTTGCCTGTGCACTACATATGAGTAAATTGTATGGTATGTGAGTTATATCTCAACAAAGCTGTTTTTTAAAAAACAAAGAAAAACCCCCTTTGCCAAAAGACCACAACAAATGCCTTATGAATCAGGAACTAAACTTAGAAGCTTAGAAAGGTTAAACAGCTTGTCAAAAATTCCACAGCCAAAGAGTGACAGAAATGGAATTTGAATTAGGCTATATGGCTCCACAACTGTCTTTTCCATGAAAGGAAACATCATCTTCAGTCAGGACAAAGTATTGGTATAGAAGTGGACAGCCACTTCCACTTGCCGAATTGGGAGGACAGAATGGGATATCTGTGCCTTCCCTGAGTCAGAAAGGATGAATCCTGAGGTAAGAGTCAAAATTTCATAGAAGAAGTCCCCTTCCTCAGCACCACCCTTTGTCTTGGGCAGATACAGTGAACGCAGACATTCACCAAATCACCAGGACATTAGGAACCAGGAAACTGCTCAAAATTTACAAAGAATGCATGCTTAAGAAACTATACTTTCCACAACACATACTAAGTTTGTGGAACCCATTTTATCAAGAGGAATCAACTCAACTTTTCTCTCTATAGGACCTCAGGAACACAATGATCATATTCCTTGGTTGGAAGCACAATACTGCCATCAGTTCAGACATGGTTCCTAGTGGTTTGAGGGGTTTTGGTACTATCATATTTTTGAGTAGCCTTCTAATCTACTTTCCATTTTTATATATGCATCTATAAATAGTATAGTGATTTATCCATGCTTTTTAAGAATGTATACAAATGACATGATATTATATTTATTCTATAATTTGCTTTTTACGCCACATTTTTTTAGACCCACCCATGGTGATCTTTAACTTTATTTGGTACTATCAACTTGTTCTTTAAAGTGTTTATACCAAATTATACTCCCATCGGCAGTACTTGAGTGTTCCTATTTTCCCAAGAATTCACCCATACTATCCATCTTTTAGATTTTTACCAGTACGTTGGGTTGGTTTAATACCATGGGTCTCAAATATGGTCCCCGAACAGCAACAGCAGCATATGGGAATGTGTTAGAAATGCAAATTCTCAGGACCCACTCCAGACCTACTGAATCAGAAACTGGAAATGGGGCCCAGCAGTCTCCAAGTGAATCTGATGTACCACTAAAGTTTGAAAATCAGATACCCATGCCAACCAGCTGCCAAAAAAAAAAAATCATTGTTTTAATAAACTGCTTTTCTTTTTTTTTTTAAAAGATGACCGGATAGTCACATTCTGAGATTACTGGGGCTTAGGATTTCAACATATATATTTTGAGGGACATAATTTAGATCATAAGAGCATACTTCTTTATAGTAATTCTAAGTACCTTAGAGTTGTAATAAATATTTCTAATTCTTTCTCATCAGGAAAACAGTCAACATTTCAACAGTGCCTGTCAACATGCAGAACCACATCGTGCATTCCTTTGTCAACCTCCTCTAATGGCTCCTTGCCTTGCTCAAAGTGCAAGTAAAGCTTTTATGAAGCCCTACAAGGCTCCGCTCAATGTGCTTTTCTCAATGGCCTCATTTTTCTGAGTTTATCTCCCAGTATTCTGCCTCTTGATCTCTCCAGTTCAGGGCCCTGGGCGGTGATGCCAACCTCCCACCTAAGTGTTTATGCCCGTGCCCTCCCTCCACCTGCGATGCTCTTCCCCTATTTCCTCCCTTGCTCCAATTCTTCTTCACTCAGATATGACCTTCTCATGAGAACTTCCCTGCCCACTATCTAATTTATGGCGCCCCTTGGCCTGGTGTTGTCAGCACCACGCTCAGCCAGTGAGCAAACCGGCCATCCCTATATAGGATCCGAACCCGTGGCCTTGGTGTTATCAGCACCGCACTCTACCGAGTGAGCCACGGGCCAGCCCAATAAACTGCTTTTCTAAAGGTTCCCTAACTACATTCAGGTACAGTATTTCCATTTTACTACAACTAACTCAATCTTGGATGTGAACCTTGTTTTCCCAAAAGACATGTTTTGGCATCACTGTCTGGCACATGCTTCAGTTGTTGAGCTAATTGCCCTGGGATGGCATTTCTTTCATCCTATTCCCAATACTAATAAATAATGTAGAATTAAGGATTTATAATGCTTTTGGTAAAAGGCTACATTACCAATTATTAAAAGTCCAGCTCTTAAATAAATATCAAGGGTAGTTTTAATATGAACTTTGAATGATCTATGAATGCATTTGGAAACTGATGTTCCAAACTGTTTAGATTACTTTGAGGACCGAAAAACAAAGCACAATGAACTGTAAAATTTCTCTTTGTTGACAATCTCACAGAGCATGCTCCTGGGGATGTCCTGTGACAAGAATTAATGATCCCAACAAAACAATTCCAGTGCTTTTACATATATTATTTCACTAAAGTCTTGAAAACCAGGCAGGGTAGGGAGTTTAGTCATCTCTATAGATAAGCAACTGAAACTCAGAGAGGTTAGAGTAACTTGTCCAAAGAAACCCAATAACTAAGTAATTGCTATGTGTTAAGCACTATACTAAGTGCTTCATTTACATTAACTTACTTAGTTCTTACCACATTCCAAAGGAGGTATGGTTTAATATCGGTCCACTTCTCATTTTAAAGATGAGAAAAATATGGCTCAAAAAGGCAAAACTGCTCTTGCAGAAACATGTAGAAATTAGAGAGGCAACCGTCTGAACTGCTCTACTCTGCCCTACTCCACTCCCTAGCCATTCCATTTCTTGAGTGGGCTCTTTATTGACATCTATGAGATAACAGGGAAAGTCTGTCTCAGAGAGGCTGGACATTTTCTCTCTGGGTACTCTGTCATATTTGTGAGAACAGTAGTACCCATAACTGGTCACACAAGGCCTCTGCTTAGGTTCCTTCAGGTTAAGGTCTAAGTTAATCTTTTTCACTTGTTCTTTGTGACCAAAACATACAAACCTATTAATTTTAATCAACACAAAAAAGAAATTAATAAACTCATTTTCAAACAGAACAGGGTTTCAAAGTAACACAAAATTTGTTTCTTATCCAATGGTAAATGCAGCTACTCATTTTCCAGGGATAAATTTAGCACATTCATGTTATAGTCCTTACAGTTTCAAGAATGGTTTTTTCAATGTAATTTTAAAGACTCAGAAGAGCAAAGTTTGAAATGCAGTTCTCCTACTTTATTAGAGTGTCACTTGGCCATTAAATAGGCAAGCTAATTAATTTCTCCAAACCTTTGCTTCCTCATCCATAAAAAGGGGATAATAACGCTTATCCTTTCTACTGCATTGTTGTAAACATCAAACAAAATAATAAATATAAAAACTATGTATAAAGTGAGAATCATGATGACTACTATTGTTCCCAGCCTTAGTCCATCATTACTCCTTCTAACTTGAGCCACAACACATTACAAAGCTCTCACTTTATATATGTGTTCTCCCTACCCCTATCATCTCCTAGAACAAACTGAGCCATTCCCATGGTCAGCAACTTCAAAGAAGCAAACATCAGAGAGGAAAGAGAATAGTGTCTAAATCCACCACCTCTACTTCCATCTCTCTCTGAAGGTTGATTTCCTACTTTAGCCCTGTCCCTAATAGAAGAAATGCTCAGCTAAACTAACTAAAACCAAATAGAATCCAAAATAATGCTACCTGCCCTGGCTTGGTTGGAAGGCATCAAGTTTTAATATTAATCCTCAGTATCTCAATATCTACACTATCCTTGGATTAGTAAAAATATAATAAAAAAGTCAATACTGAAAAGACTAACTACTAGCAATAGCTGTGTACCCCAAAAGTCAATAGTTTTATTTTCCAAATCATTTGTTTATTTTTCTAAATAATTGTTTAACTCTTCCAGAAGCTTTGCCGTTTTCCATCACTTTGAGGAAATGAGAGGAGTTTCTAACAACTTGAATCTAACCACACTGTCTTAGCATCCCTATTTTTCAAGGAAAATTTTGTGACTAGCTAGACAATTTTGTCATCATTTAACAAAAAAAGCTATGTAGAGCCAGTTTCTTTTATTTAACTCAAAAACAATTATGGTAGCTGATTTTCATTATTTTCAATTTAGGAATCTTCCTCTTTGTGGTACTGGTGGATCTAAAAGAGTTCTGCAGGAATAATAATGATGATGATGATCAGGATGATAAAAATAATAATAGCCAACGCTTCTGGAGCACTTAAAATAGATCAGGCACTGTTCTAAGTATCTTACATATATTAACTCGTTTAATCCTCTCAACAACACTATGAGTAACTATTATTACCACACCACTTTTAAGGATGAGAAAACTGAGGCACAGAAATGCTGAGTGACTTGTTTGAGGAAACACAGCTGGTATGGTGGATCAGAGACTCAAACTCAACCGCCTGAGCTGAGTTTGCTCTTTACCTCTCCATCACACATTTTCAATTGTTTTGGGAGTGGAAAAAATCTCACTCTTTTTATGTATAAAGCACAGATATACCAACATATAGTACAGAAACAGATATACAATATATCTGTGGTATTAAAATGGAGGGGGCGATTAGGAAAAGAATTTCTAAAAAGGCTGCAGGGGCAAGGGGAGGAGAGATCATGAAAAAAGATTGAAAAACATTGTTTTGCACTATACAGCCTCTCTTTTCCACATGGGGGTAAGACTGGCCCTATGTTTTGCTAAGTAAAAATGGCCTGTCATTCATTGTTTCATTCAATAAATATAAATTATGTGCTTATTATATGCTAGGCGCTGGTATAAAATAATGAACAAGACCTTAAAGTACACTTTCTTTAAGGAACTACCAGTCTGCCAACTAAACAGGCAAAGTCAACACAACGTGATATGTACTTTGAGAGGAATTATAAGATGCTACCCTACCCAGACTTGAGGGGCAGGGAGAGTTTCAAACGGTTTCTTAGAAAAGATGATGTCTCAGTTGGATCTTAATGGAATAGTAGGGATTAACCAACCTCCAGTGAGAGGGTGGAGATAGAGGGAGAAGGGCACCCAGGCAGAGATACCAGCATGTGAAAAGACTCAAAGTCATAAGAACCCAAACTGGGTATTGGATGGTCAATAGAGAAGGAAAAAGAATAGTTAGGGGGAAGAAATAAAAAGATGAGGTTCAAGTAAGCAATCACTAGGTCAAAAAGGACCTCATAATTCAAGCCAAGAAGTGTAGACTTTATTCTGAAGGAAACAGCGAAGCACTGAAGGGCTTTATGGAGGAGAGTAACATGATCAGAACTATGCTCAGAAAGATTCCTCTGGCTGTAATGTGAAGGATGGTTTACAGACATAAGGTAAAGACTGGAAGACCAATAGGGGGCTGCTACGAGGATAACATATAACAAGGTTCTTTTCATACCTGGCCCCAGAGTGACAATTACCATATTCTACAGTTTTCAACTGACTAAACAGTTATGTTTCTCTCTTTTGTTCCACACCCATACTACCAATAATGAAGGTTAAGAAAGCATTCTGGGACTTGAGGTGTAGCACCCTCTTTTGTGTACCAAAAATATGAAAATGCAAACAAACATTACAAAGTATTAAATAATCTGAGAGATTGTCTCTCCAAGAAGTAAATTACTCACAGTGCCTTCAATCTCTGAATAGAGTCCTGACCAGAAGCTGAAAGTACTTTTATCCAGTTGATATAGTCGAGATTTCTCAAATGTTTCAGAGTCCATGATTTGTCCTAACTCCGGTGGTACATGAGTTGTTGTTTTATATATCCTTCTCTGAAATATTTTGAAGAAAACACTTTAACAAAATAGTCAACTGTTTATTACAATAGTCATTTATGACCAAAAATTGAATGTTTATAGCATTATCCTGTCACTTAAGCTTGTTGAATTTGCCTTATACATACACAAATAATGCATTTGATCAAGTACACTGATCACTGAAACAACTGATGCAGGAAAGTAAAATCAAAACAAGAGAATCTGAGGATACCTGACTAGGTAATAATAAATTAAGAGTTGTCATCACACTTCAGTTTGCATATGTAAATCAAAGTTGTAACATCACAAAGGTACCACTCATTCTGTATATATAAAGCATGCCCTGTGATTCAGAAAACAAATTCATAAAAAGGAGAAGCAAACAAGCTCACAAGGAGTATTAACAGATATCGTGGCAATCATTAATTTGGTCCTAGAAGCCAAATTAATGGAAATTTGAGGAGTGACAGAAATACATCAGGTTTCCCAAACAGAACAACTTTCTCATTTTACCAGATTCTAAAAGGCAATTTCAGCCCATGGGTCATAATACAGGGAACAGATACCAAACAATATAATGGGCCAAATCTTCTACAAGGGTTTTACAACAAATGCTTCTTCTATATATTGTAGTGCACCAATAAAAGCTGAGGGCATTACATTAAAGCATAACTTAGTAATGATGCCACTGGAAAGTAGTTACTGTAACTAGGCTCATTCTTCTTCTTCTTTTTTTTTTTTAGTTGAACTCTGCTAAATTTAAAGCTTTATTATTAAAGTAAGACAGATAGATGTTCTGTACCTCAACTCCCAATTTTTTTTTTAATTCGTACTTTTTTTTCTTCCTCACCTCCCAATTTAGATGCCACATACTGTTTTTACTTTATGCAAAGGATCTTCTTCAGACCAGCAAGATTCTGTACTAATGAAGCTATCTAAAGAGCTATATCAAAGTACATAGCTACACAGCTTAACACCTACCTTTGAGTATCCTCGACTAAAGAAAGATTGAGATATAACCCAGACATTGACAAATTAAAAAATTTTTTCAAATTAAAACTTCAGTTTAAACATTCATGTGGAATGTAAACGAAAAGAAATCTGCAGAGGAAAAAGATTAATGCTCAAGAAAGTTCCAGCAGTTAAAAAGAGAAAGGTTTTCATAACTATCATCCTTGACATAATTCAGTGACAACATAGAAGAGTGCAGGTAAAGCAAGCCAGCAGTGAGAGACTGCAGTAAAACTCAATTATACTTTAAGTCGATCTCATTTAAAAGTTCAGATCTCTAATCCATCAAGCTGTTAATTATGGTTATCTTCGGGTAATTGTTATTAAGTAACTTTCACTTTCTACTTTACTGTTTAAATGTTTTAAACAAAAATAATAAAGACGCTCTTATGACAAACAGGAAAATACTGTTTTGGGGGTGAGAAAAACACCTACACTTGAAGGGGAATAAAAGGGGGTGAAGGTTCTTGGAATGACTGCAAAATCTTCATTTTCTGAAAATGGTTTCCTAATCCTGTGGTCCAGCAGGATTACACCAATGTCATGGGGAAATAGTGACTCTTAAATTTTAGCATCTTCCTTTTGAAGATTTATGCGGAAGATAAAGGAGGCTAAGTCTGGGTGCGTCCGAGGAGCCTAAGGAAGCTGTGGGGCAGGCACAAGAGCTCAAGCCTCACGAGGCGGCAGCCCTTCACTTTCTTCAGGTCCTAACGGGCTAGGGTTCCACGATAACGTTGCGGAAAACTTCCCTGAGGCACCAAGTTCCCCTCAAAGCCACGGCCCGCCATCGGGCCAAGTAGGGATCACAAGGTCTTGCAAGACTTGTGCTGGGACCGAAGCAATCATCAAGGGACTCAGGGTCGAGGCTGAGGCTGAGGCTGGCCTAAGGCTGGCCGGGTGCTGGATCAGGTGGTCCCTGTCTAGGCTCACCTGCCGCTGTGCTAGGAAGGTCTCCCAAAGATACACCGTCCAAGAGAAGACCAGCACGGCCCCGAAGATACGCTTCTCGGCCGGCATCTCCCACATCGCGTCCAGCGACGCCCACATCCCCATGGCCACCCCGTTCCGCCGGCTCCTTCAGCGTGCACAGGTGCCACACCGACACCCGTCCCCTCAGGGCGTCCTCGCAGTGTCACAGTGATATCCGTCCCTTCCGAGTGCCCCTACACCGGTACCCGTCCCCATCCCCTCCCCTCTGCGCTGCCGATGGTGTCACACAAACACTTCCGCTTGCCGACTCCCACTAGGACCTTTTCGTTTCTGCTGAAAAAGGGACAGCTCCACCTTCCTCACTTCCGGCACAAAGTGGGCGGGAGCCCAGAGGCCGAGTTCCGGTCCCTGCTGATCCGCGTTGCACCAACATTCTGCCCCTTCCTCTCCACGTTGGGTTCCTGCCCAGGGTTCCGGGTTTCTTCCTGGGCGCCTCCGCTTTCTAACCTTGGAGCGGCAGTTCCATCCCTAGAGTCCGCGGCCTGCGCTGGCTGGGCTAGCGGGAACTCGCGGAGTGGGCCGCCACACCCGCCCTGAGGTAGCTGGGAAGACGAGAGAGCTGACGGCTTCTCAGGCTCTAAAAACTATGCCTCTAAACTAGTGCTCTTCAAACGGTGGTATGTGCATCCTTGGGATAACTTAAGAGCGAGACAGAGCATTATAAATGGAGTATTTTGGCCTGTATTGGGATATTCTGAATTCAGGCATATTAGAGAGTGGACGGTAGTGATGAGAATTTTTTTTTTTTTTTTTTAAAGATGACCGGTAAGGGGATCTTAACCCTTGACTTGGTGTTGTCAGCACCACGCTCACCCAGTGAGCTAACCAGCCATCCCTATATGGGATCCGAACCCGGGCCTTGGTGTTATCAGCACCGCACTCTCCCGAGTGAGCCACGGGCCGGCCTGTGATGAGAATTTTCATTTAAAGATTTCGTCTCATTCACCCCAAGTGTAGTCAGTCAGAGGGGCATGTTGGCTGAGAGAGAATGCCCTGGAGCAAAGCAAGGACAGCGTGGGTTAGAAATACCTGAAATGAAAGGGCCTTGCTTAATCTAGGGAACAAACTCATACCAGTGCTCAGTGCCCGAATTTGGAATTGTGGACCGAAATTAAGGCTGTCGAGGCAAAATTAATTTTATAAAGTTTATTGGGATTGACCTGGGATACACGAACCAACAGAGTTGGGAAGTGCTCTGGGAGTCTGTTAACAGGCAACAGAGATTTTATAGGAAGTTATTCCATTTTCATTGGTGAGCCAAATACAGAAGTTACAGTCATTTGTTACAGGTTACATCAGAAAGCCAAAAATGTCTATGTGCAGTTTTAAGCAAAAAATTTTCAAGCTGCAGATATTTAAAACCACTGTATGACTGCTTTCAGTCAGCAAATTATACATTAATTGGTATGTCCCAGCCCTAGCCACATCCTATCCTCATCGTAAGAACAAAATGTGGACACTGAGATCATGAGACTCAACCCCAAGGCAGAGATTGTTTGGGAACCTGCTTCAGTACCTTCATTAGAATTCAAAAGTGAAGTGTGGTCACTGGGACGCCTGTTAACACATGTGACTTGAAAAGTGAGATCAGAATTTTTCTGGCCAATTGACCATCACATATTGTACACAACTATTGATAGTCAACTTTGTACCCCACGAATATGTATAATCAATTATGCTTCGATTAAAACAATTTTTTTTCTGACCAAAAATCTGATTTGGTTAATTGGTTGATAGACTGGTGTTTCTAATTTGCATAATTGTTATTTACAATAAATTGATCTAAATCTGTAGCTGCAACTGTAATCTTTAAATTATATTGATGATATAATGCTAAAGAGGTGTAGAAATTAACAATATTTTGAATTTCTCAACCCTGCCTAAATGCCTCTACCTGAGAGTAATTGGAATGATTAAAAGTCATGCTGTGCACTCTAACAGGAGCAGCCAGCCTGTTTTATCTTTTGCATCTAGCTTATTCTATTTTCTGTCTCCCACACAGGCAACTAAATCTATATTACTCCCTTGTTAAAAAAAAACCCCATAGGGCTGGTGAGTTAGCTCAGTTGGTTAGAGCGCCACCTTGTAACAGCATGATCAAGTGTTCAGATCCCTGTACCAACCAGCTGCCAAAAAACCCCAAACCTGTAATGGTTATTTCCAACAGTACAAAGCCCAACTATATGGTATGTCCTTTAGGCCTGTCATTACTTGACATCAGTCTTCTGTTCAAGGCCCTTCTTTATTTTTTTCAAGGCCTTTCTTCTAACATTTTCCTTTGATATACCTCAGAGGGGTAACCAAGATAAAATGACTAGAATGAAATTTAGACAGCACAAATTTGAGACATCGACTTTAAAAGATTGACATGGCACTCCATTAGAAGTCCAATAACAAGGGCCGGCCCATGGCTCACTCGGGAGAGTGTGGTGCTGATCACACCAAGGCCACAGGTTCGGATCCCTATATAGGGATGGCCGGTTAGCTCACTTGGGAGAGCCTGATGCTGACCACACCAAGTCAAGGGTTAATATCCCCTTACCAGTCATCTTTAAAAAAAAAAAAAGAAGAAGAAGCGCAATAACAGACCTCTCACCTAAACCATCCCAAATGCACATTGTTAACTCCCATCTGTTCTATTCCCCACATCATAAATTAAAGCAGATTTGAGGATGAAGTTAGTGCACTTTGCCATGAAGCCAAAATCCTTAATTGTAGTTCTGGAAATAGCCAGTGCATCAGCCACCCTAAAATTCTCCTTCTTCTCCAAGCCATCCTCCTTTTGTACACCTCCATGATGATCTCAACAGGAGGAATACCTTCTGTTTCATTGTCTACCTGTGTAATCCTTTGTGGGACGGCTTAATGTCACTTCTTCTGTAAAGCCTTTCCTGTTTCCACCCTGTATTCACCCACCTGTTTTTGCACTTACTACACTGTGCAGTGAAATTTCATCTTACACAGGGGTTGTATCTTTAATGCCAATGTACTAGGCAGAAATTATAAATGGTCAAAATTGCCCTTGGAAATCCCTTAGGAAGATGCCACTTGGGAGACTGCTCTATTGTCTCTTGTTTACCAGCATAGTCAGTTTTTCTCCAGCATGGCAACAAATCACTGTTTATTTGCATACCAAGTGAAATATTTCATTTAGTTGCCAGATAGTTTCTCTCTCTCTCTCTCTCTCTCTCTCTCTCATACATCCATTTTCCCCTCCCTGCCATGGGATTCACATAAGCATAATTCACCTCAGTTCAAGATGATATGATGACTCCACCGTATTATAATTATTTGATTTTTTTTTTTCCTTTTTGTCTTTTTTCGTGACCGGTAACAGGATAGCAACCCTCGGTGTCGCGCCCGCACTGCGCTCAACCAGTGAGCAGACCCGTCTCTATATGGGATCCGAACCCTCGGCGGGAGCGCCGCCACACTCCCAAGCGCCACACTCTACATAGTGCGCCACCGGGCCGGCCCTATAATTATTTGATTTGAAGTTAGCTGTCTGTTCAGCTACACTGACTTTTCCTAAAGCACTCAGGATAGATTCCTAGGGATTATCACAATTCTTAGCATAGAGTAGGTATCAGTAAGAGTTGGATAAAATTAAAACAGTCTCCTTTATGTCCATTCCCATCCTTGCCCACCTTTGAGTAATTAATGCAGGAACCCCCAGGGCCACATATGTACCTTTTGGCTGTGGCCAACCACAGGGGCCAGCCTACCTCTACAGGACAGTCCACAACATGGCCCTGAAACAGCACTTTCCTGCTTTTTATTATATCTGGTCCAACCTCTTACACATGGACCTTAAGGCCATATCCCTGACCACCCTTCTTTTCCCACCCCTTTGATTCTAGTCTGGCCATCCATTCCTATATGGCTGCTTATGGTCTCTAGTCATAGGTAGCTCACTCAGCACTACAATTCCAGAGACATTTTAAACGACTGCTATATCCCCCATTACCCGATCAAAAACACAAGTAGAAGCTGGGGCCTACTGAACAGAGAGCCAGTCCTTGCAGGGTAATTTCTGTATAGTTCTCTGTCTTTATTGATACAGCATTGCACACATGAGGGAAACAGTGCTTTTTTGGAAAAGATTGTAGTCCATCACATTTCAGATGTGGAAGTAAACCCTGACGTGGGCAAGGGGCTCTGGCAGTCGGAGCAGCTGCAGTAGGGCTCAGAGGAGCAATCCCTTTTTGTGGCAGGTTTTTGGGCAATGATCATCCCCTCCAGGTCCTTCACTTTGTTTTCTACTGTCTGAAGTTTTTTCAGAATTTTCTCTTGCAGACCCAAGGACAGGAAGAAATTACCGTCTTGCATTTGGAAACCACTCCCTTCTGGGCTGGCCAGCAAAGCCTGAAAAATTTCTGAGCCCTTCTGGTAAAATTTGTAGAGTGTGATTAGAAACAACAATGTTTTCTAAAACAAAACAACAGAAGTTGAGTGTTACTTGTTTTTTCATGTGAAATGCCACAGTTTACTATAGATGCAAAACAAAACAAAAAGCAAATCATAACAATAACCCCTCATCCCTATGCCAAGCCTTCCATTTAACAAAATATTTTCACACCTGTTTCATCTTTCATTTTCACCACAGACTGAAGTGGTAGGTGTCAGGGATTATTATTTGCATTTAATTAATAAAGATTATAATAATAGCTACTATTTGCTGAAGGTCTGCCACAGCTGGACTCTGCACTAGAAATTACCTTACCTATACATGACCTATTTATGCAGAAAAAACAGAACTGCATAACCACTTAGATATCCTCCAGTTTAGACTCTGTCATTGTCCGAGGTCATATATTGGAAGTAGTAAAGCCAGGACTGGAATCCAGCAATTCTCACTTCCAAGTACACTTCTAAGACATAGTGGTCTGAAAAACTGGGTTTCCTGGTCATGGAAAAGAATTTTGATATACCAGGCCAGATTCCTGCCAGGATAGGAATAAAACAAATCATCTCTTTTCTTAATATAATAACTAGAGCTGCATATTAAATACCTATGTACTAAACTTTACATATAGTATCTCCTTTAATTCTCACTACTCCACGAGGGAAGCCCTGCTAGCAAGCCCATCTTACAGATAAGGAAACTGGAGCTTAGAGGTTAAGTGACTGTTCTCAGGTCACAGAGTAAGTGGTGCAACAAAGATTTAAGTTCAAGCAGTCTGACTTCAGAGCCTACACTATTCACCAGTGTTTCACTACTTTTTCTCAGCTGAGTTGTCTGGAGGGCTACCAGTTTATCTTTCTGATTGAGCTAAACACAGAATTAGATAAGAGTTAGTTTCTTGCCTTACAGGTCACCTGTTAGCTAGCTGAAATTTGTGTATGTGTATGTTTATATAAACATTTCAGTTGAGGATTTAGATCAGTTGGATTACATTAAATGAGATTTTAGAGAAGAACTGAATTGGGAATCCTAAAAATTGTGTTCAAATCCCAGCCCTGCCAGCTCTTACAAACTATGTGAACTTGAGCAGGAGATAACCAACTTCCCTCATCTACAAAGTGGAGATGATAATCCCTGCTCTACCCACTATGCGGAGTTTTGAGAAGTTAAAATAGAAAATTCAGGTGACAGTAATTCCTAAAAAAGTGATATATGAAAATAAATGAATGCTACAAGATGATCCAGTAATAACTTCTCTCTGCATTTATCAAGTAAACCAGGCACTTTTTAAAGGATTTAAAGAAAGCCCCCTTTAAATCCTGTCTCCTTAAATTTCTACTGAACCTCAGTGCCCCTCAGTTTTCCATTTGTCACTTAAAATAACCTCTATCCATATCATGGAGTTATTGGGATTCCCAGTGCACTTTGTATTGTAAATAAGTTGGTATTGTTGATTAAACAGAAATAAAATTTCCTAAATGTTTCTCACAATCCTGGCCAGTTAAATTCCTAATTCCCAAAAAGAGCTCCTGTATATTTATGGAAACTTATCTTGTTAGAACACAATAATAAAAACATTGTCATGACTTAATGAATACATATGCCTCCTTATCAGTTACAGAGCAATGGCATAGTAAGAACAGAAAGGCCATACCCAAGATCCCAGTTATACTATAGTGCCTATTCTGTAAATATAGTAGGCATTCAAAGATGAGTAAGTGATCACATAAATTAGGGAGTAAGGCTGCCCTCTCAGGTTATGAACTTGTTTGATCTATTTTATTATAGCAGGCAAGCCAAAGACCATTGTGAGAAAGAGCATTTTCATGCTCAAAACATAATTGGTGGAAGTTTTCAAGAATAACCTATTTTTGACCAGCTCTTAAGAGACAGGGTTCATCTTTGCACATCCATGTGATGGTAAAACTGGGTGGCAGCAGTATGGGAAAGAACTAATCAAATTTCAATTCATAACTATTTAAATTTCTCTGTAACAAAAGAGTATAACCTGAAGTGACCGAACACTTCGTTTCCATAAGGCATATAATCCTATTCCCAACAAAATCAAAAAGGAAATCCCCAGGATGACTTGCACAGCTCGAGCAAGATTATCTAGCCGTCCCAAATTTGTTTGTTGAGGTGCATTAGTCTCTCCCAGAAAAGTTGCTTGTAGCCAATTCCATATCGTTCTCAGAGAGAAAGAATTTAAGAGGTAGTCCCAGGTAGAAAATGAAGGTGAAGGTGTTGACATTTTCATAAGATAGCTCCAGGAACTACATGTGTAGAGGCTTCAGAAATCTAGATGAGAGTTAAGGACAGTGGCCTGGGAGCCCAGGTATTCTGGAATCATTGTGAGTTGTGCTTTGTGATGTCACTGTTCTGGAGGTGACAACTTGCTTCTCACTCAGCCAGTGAACCTTCTCACCCCAAGCCAATCAGGCATTGGCCTGGGTTTTCAGTTCATTCATATTGCTTTCTCTGATCTTTGGCTAGTCCTAGCTCTAGCACAGCACTGCCCTTAATTGTGCTCCTCCCCCTCTTGCTGCAAACTCTTTTTAGATTCTTGCTGTCTTTGTAATCTGATCTCACAATTTAGATTATATACTTGTATGTGAACTATCTTTTCCCATGAAGGCCTTTGGGAACAGATCATACATTTTATTTTTATATCTTCACACCTCCTTGCTGAGCAGATAGTAAATAATTGATTTGATAATTAGGTTACAGTGTAGTGGGCTGCTGTATACAAAGTGCTTAGAAAGTCACATCATTTGTTCCTAATACAAACCTTGTGAAGGAGGTAGAATCCCCATCTGTAAATAGATAAGCAAAAAGCAAAATGCTCGAATACATGAAAAGCCTTTCCAAAGATCACAATTTCTAAACAATAGTGACATGAAAAGATGGGAATGCTGCAAAATTATCCATGTTTACTTCCTCCACATTTACCAAGTAACTCTTTAAGAAAGCCCTCTTTAAGTGCTGTCTCCTCAAATTTTCACTCAACCTCAATGCATCTCAGCTTTTTCATTTGTCATGTGAAAATTCCATTGCATGGAATTGTTGGAAATGTATGTGCACTGTCCAAGAGGGTAGCCACTAGCCACAAGTGGCTATTTAAATTTAATTAAAATGTAAAATTCAGTCCCTCTGCTACACTATTCACATTTCAATGTAAAAAAAGATATCGTGTGATGCTATACAAGGTGATGACATAGGAGCCAGATACCACAGGTTCCAATTTGTTAATTCTGGTTGACTGAAAGAACAGGAATAGAGAAGCCTCGTGGAAAAGGAAAAACTTTTTTTTTTCTTTTCCTTTTTTACTGAAACTGTTTTGTTTATGCAGGAAAGGGAGATGAGGTAGGTTTCTTGAGGTGTGAGGGGCACATCCAGAAAATGGGTCTAGAATTCTGTTGAAAATACAGTACTTATGTCAGGGTCCATAGTCTACTAGTTAGGGACTGACCACAGTCAGAATCCTTTCTAGTAAGGAATAAAAGGTACTCAGCTAAGACCTGGGATTTGACTATAACAGGTTAAGTACAGGTCAGAAACCATTAAAGAATGGTAGCCAGAAAGTTTTTGGAGAAAAATAGGGTTGTGACAACTGAACCATTTCCTAAGACTCCCCATACTAGATTAGATAAGGTAAAGTGTTACATGACACCTTATACTTTACTTTCAAAGCACTTGACCCAATTATAGTTATTTGTGTAATTTTTGGTTTAATGTCTATCTTCCCTGACTATTGTAAACTCAAGAATGACAGGAACCACATTTTATTGACTCCCATATCCCTAATGCTTGGCTCACAGCAGGCATTCAAATATTTTAAAGTAAATGCCAATATATTTACAGCCAAAACTGTTCATTCATCATGTGGCTAGTATTATATTTGTGTAATTGTACAGAAGTGTTACAGACTAGCTGTTAAGATAGGCCTTGGGAGTATGATGGATCTGAGTTCAAATTTTGGCTTTACTATTCACTAACCCTGTTACCCTGGGCAAGTTATTTAACCTGAGACTTAATATCTTCACTTGTAAAGTGAGAATAATTCCTACCTTGTAGAGCTGTAATGAGGATTTGATAATTTGTGTAAAAGAACCATGCTACACACACAGGTGAGAGCAACTATTATTAGTAGTGACATTCATGACCAAATACAATGTATTATACATTTCAAGAGTGTAAAGCACTTCAAAGAGAATCTAGTCCAAAAAACCCATTTATTATTTGACTCCCCTCTTGGACACCTGAACACCTCCAATGATGAACTTATCACTGTCTATGGCGGGCATCACAACACACCTTTGATAGTGTCATCCATCCAATACATCCAGCCAGCCAGCCATCGATCACTCAATCACTTCCACTCAGTAGTCTTCCACATGCTGTTAGGACTTACTGACTTACGCAATGCCTATATTCAAGCCTTCAACAGGTTGTTCCTCATTGCCTTTCAAACAAAATCCAAAATCTAGAACAGGGCACTAAATACCTGATCCCTGCTTACCTATCCAACCTTCTCCCCCTTCCCTTTTCCATTTATTCTCTCAACTCCAGCTATAGTAGTAGTCTTGTCAATGCCACTAACATGTTAAATTATTGCACCACATAGCCTTTGGTTAGGGTAATTGGATTACCCTTTTTGCCTGGCTAATTTCTATCAATTCTTCAGATTTCCAATTAAATATCACTTTCTCAAGGAAGCTTTTTCTTTCCTCCTCTTTGGTCCCCATGTCACAGAGTTTTTGTTTGGTAGCGCTTTTACTTTAATTATTTGTAGTGTTTTGTTTAATGTTTATCTTTCCTACCAGTAGACTGTAATCTCCACAAAACAATGACTCTTGTTCAACACCCCTATCACCCCAGGGCTAGCAGATGGTATGTCCTTAGTAAATATTTGGCTTTTGACAGACTATTCAGGTACCTTTCCAGTGTCTCAGGTCTTCTCTTTTCTAGGAGAAACCTGCCAAATACATGTTGACAGGTTTAAAAACCTCCCGCCTATCCTGGTTATTTTCCTCAAAGTGGTTCAAACCTCCAAATGCAGTTGGTCACAGAATCCACTCCTACAGGCTACTCTTTCTAGTCCTAGCTCTCCATAATAGGGTATAAATCAGTAGCGTAAAGCCAGTAGGCATGACAATCTATCTTCAGGTGGGAAGTAGGGAGGTACAACCTATCTTTTTTGTTTCTTTCAGAGACGAAGAAAACTTGACTTTTTCATGTCATTCTCAGAAACAATATGCACCAATTTTCCATCTTTACTCAAATGAGGAAACGTGTAACTGTGGAGCTGGATGTCCATCACCTGGCTTTTGCTTATACTTCAAACTTTATTCTCACTGTTCACTCATTTGAGAATACACTCAAGCCTAATTTTTGGTACTTCAAATATCATCTGCAACTTTCCACCTGTTATTCCTTCACAATAAGTGCCCCTCCCTGATATTCTTCTAGTTAGAAGAGATTGAAAACTGATCTTACAGGTAAGGAATTCATTTGATAATTTTTTTATTTGTGTCAGCTAGGCAAGTCAAATAAGGATAATAACAGCACCTACTTCATGGGGCTATGACAGTTCAACAAGCGTTTTATGCAAAGTGCTAAAAAAGTATAATTACCCTGAATTCTCACAGGACTTCACTTTGTATTCCAGTCCAGTGCCTCAACTTTTCTATGCCTATGAATCATCCAGAGGTCTTAGCAAAATACAGACTTTGGTCCAGCAGGTCTGGAGTGGGGCCTGAAATTCTGCATTTTTAACAAGCTCCTTGGTGATGCACAGGCCACTGGCATAGGACCACACTTGAGTAACAACATGCTAAGCTACCCCAGCCCTCCCTTCACCTTACATTAAAGCCCCACAATGGCCTTGACCAATTTTCTTTGATATTTTTATCTCACAAAGCATCTGGAACTGTCTTTAAATATGTATTTACTTAAACACCTGGTGAATGACTATGTCCCCCAAGGACTATGTCCTTGGCAGTGTAGCTCAAAAGTAGGAAATCTGGGCCTGAGAAAGGATTGGGAATGGGATGCCCCTGAGAATGCTAAAATAAAAAACTTTCTTCTCCACATGAAAATGGGGGAAACACTGAAGCAAGAGAATTCTGGGTAAAAGGCAAGAATGGAAGTGTCTGGTACTCTAGAGTCCTATTCACCATTGTAGGTGGCGGTCTGAACTGAAAAAGGCTTTGAAAACAAAGTCAATGCTTTCATGTCTGTGCCAGGGTTGGGACAAATTCCAAAGAGTCATCAAGTTAAAATGATTATAAAAGGTACAAAAATAACCCTTTAACCTTCTGTAATACCATATAATCACTCACGATGGTTGAAACATAAAACATGGTCTCCAAAAAAGATCAAATGTAACAAGCTGCTCCAACTGGAATAGACCGTGATTCTAGGATTAACCACTTAGGCTTGAAGCAAACTGTCAATTGGGTTCTGAAATGTACAGTCCTTTAGACTCTCAAGGTGAGGTGGCGGCAAACTGAAATTCCTAAAGAGCTCACAAAACAAGGAAACAAGGGTTTAAGGATCAGAAAAAAGGTCTCGGAAACCTAACCACAGAGATGAGAAAAGAACATTAGGAGTGTGTTTGAGTCATTTTGAAAGTGGTTGAGGGGCCAGCCCGTGGCTCACTTGGGAGAGTCTGATAACACCAAGGCCCGGGGTTCGGATCCCATATAGGGATGGCCGGTTAGCTTGCTGGCTGAGCGTGGTGCTGATAGCACCAAGTCAAGGGTTAAGATCCCCTTACCGGTCATCTTTAAAAAAAAAAAAAAAGTAGTTGAAAACTTCACCAAGGAATCAAGACTAAAGCTGCTGTATTTATAAAAACCTATCACTATCCTTGTCTTTAGACAGAGATGTACCACAGTCCACTGAAACGCAACACATTTCAAGGACTAAACTCACCTTGCCTTTCCATCCTCTTCCCAAATACTCATTCCTCCTTTTGTATTCCCACCTCAACTCATTGCATCATTTCCAAATTTTTAAAATTTTTCTCACATCCTTAACCTCCAAGCTCCAACAATCCTGTCTCCTTAAATATCTTGATTTCATTTACTCTTCCCTCTGCTCATCATCAGTACAGACCCTCACGAAGTTTGCCTCAATTACTTCAACAGTCTTATCTACTGTTTCCATTCACAGCTCCTCAAACCACATTCCACATTTCAAGTAACCCATAAATTAATTTGAATGTATTATTTTGTTTAACATTCTTTAAAGGTTCTCAGCATCCCATAGACTCAAGTCTGAACTCACTGTTCATGGTTTGGTTCTTGCCTACCTGCAATAATCTCACTCCATCTTGGG